GAACAGAGGGCACTTCCTGGTCTCAGAGGTGGCGAAAAGTTCGATCTCTGGCAGCCCCCATCTCTTGAATATGCTGTGGGGAACCTGAGTGTGTCCAACTCCCATTCATAATTGTGGGAGAAATGTCTGCTAAGGGCATTGGATGGGGTGTTCTGGATGCCTGGGAGGTAGACCGCTGAAAACTGGAGATGGTGGGCTATACACCAGTTCCAGAGTTTTATGGCTTTGCCCAGAGGCGCTGACTTTCTAATGTGCCGGGAGGGGAGGGGCTTGACCCCTGGCTCTGTCCCAGGCCCCTCCCACACTCCACATCTTCCCCCAAGGCCCAACCCCCACCCTGCCTCTTCCCACCCCTGCTCTGCCTCTTCCTGCCCCATTCTGCCCACTCCCCCGAGCGCACCTCACCCTCTCGCTCCTTCCCCCCCCAGCACCTCCTGCATGCTGCAGAACAGCTGATTGTGGCGGGCAGGAGGCGCTGGGAGGAGAGGGGGAGGCACTGGGGGGGAGGGGAAGAGGGAAGAGCTGATCGGGAGAGCTGCCAGTGGGTGCGCTCAGCACCCACCATTTTGTCTTCGGCATACAAGAAGCAGGATCTTGCTCCTTCCTGCTTGTTGATGTAGCATATGCAGGACATATTGTCCATCGTAACCCTGACTGGCTTGTCCCTGATGAGGGGCAGGAAATGAAGGCAAGTGTTCCTGACTGCGCTGAGCTCCAATAAGCTGATGTGGAGACTGGCTTTGTGAGTTGTTCACCCACCCTGAACCATGAGGGTGTCAAGGTGGGCTCCCCATCCTAATAGGGATATGTCGGTTCTTAGTCACTGATGTGGTTGGGCAAGAGAAAGGGACACCCACACAAATGTTGAGTTGCTCTTTGCACCAGTTTAGGGAATTCTTTACATGAAAGGGGCAAGTCGCCTGCCTGTCCCAGGTGTCCCTGCTTGGACAGTAGGTTGTTCTGTATCAACCCTGGAAGCAGTGGAGGTGTAGCCAGGTATGATTGGTTACAAAGGTGTAAGCTACCATATGACCCAAGAGTTGAAGACACTCTGGGTGTGTATACACACACACACACACACGAACTCAAAGCTCCTTACACCATTAACAAATTAAGCCTTCTTGCAAATTAAACAGGGGCCCTACGGGGGCTTACTTCTCCCACCACTAAAATGCATAAAATGCAGTTACCTCTGAAGTGGAAAACAGTAGCTGTTCAACAGCACACATCTGCCACAGTTTAAGGCAAGAAGTGAAGAATACTGTACTTTACCCAATCAAAGTTGCAGAGGAAAGTTAGGTAGACAGAATATAATTATCCTACTGGTATTTGGCCAGAAGAAAGGGAATAACATGCTTACTCTTACAAAAAGTGATATGGAAGCTTTAATGACCACAAGTGGTCAGAATCCTAGCTTTATGTCTCATCTGCAAGATGCCACCTCCAGCATCATACTGTCCTGTGCTCTAGCATAGGCCTGGTCTACACTAACCCCCCCACTTCGGACTAAGGTACGCAAATTCAGCTACGTTAATAACGTAGCTGAATTCGAAGTACCTTAGTCCGAACTTACCGCGGTCCAGACGCGGCAGGAAGGCTCCCCCGTCGATGCTGCGTACTCCGCTCGCCGAGCTGGAGTACCAGCGTCGACGGCGAGCACTTCCGGGATCGATCCGGGGCACTTCCGGGATCGATCCGGGATCGATTTATCGCGTCTTAACCAGACCGCGGATGTAAGTGAAGACATACCCATAGATTCAATACTGATTAAGAGCAAAGCATTATATCTATTGACTCACTAATGTTACTTGCCTCAGGTTCTTGGTGTTCAAGCCTTGGAGACCTCCTATCTAATAACACAAGTCAAACCCTACTTAGGTGTTTGGCTGTGAACAACCAACCTTTGTTATTTAAAAAACAGCAGAACAGATACAGAATGCTAGAACAATAATTCAATTTTAGAAGTTTTTATTTCAATAAAAAGAAACCTTAGAATGTCTCATTAATGTAAGAGTAAATAATGTAGAATATATACAATATTTGGATATTAAAATTTTGTATAGAATGTGCATGACATATGCCAAAAACATGATTACTGCCTTAAGGATGTTACAAACTAAAAATCAAAGTGAACGAACATCATCAAAGTAAACAAGAGTTGTGCATGGTCACTAAAGCTGGGAAGTGTCATCCAACAGGTAGTTTTTTCCAAGAGAGATGATGCTCATGTGCATATCTTTAGCCTCATTTCTAGCTTATATTTGTTTTCATATTCAGGTCTTTCTAGCAACATCTTTTTTATGTTGATTTGTTAGTTAATGTGATTAACTGTGAACATACCAGTGCTTTACACCTTTTTTCTTTTTGAAAAACTGAACACTAATGTTAGCTTTAGCTAACGTGTTCATTCAGCCCATGTGTTTCTGTAATATAGTAACAAGATAAACCTTGCACATGATATTGTGAGCCTGATTGAGTCATATGAGCTACTTCCTACAGACATATACTCATGTCAAATAGCAACATAACTCTTTTCACAAAGATGCAAAGTGTCTTAAAAGTATTTGTCACTAAACTATAATCTTTACATAAGACACAATAAACTTTAAAACCACCGACATATGCCAAAGTTAAACACATTTATCACAATTTGTACCATGCTATTTCTGTAAAGAACAAAGTTAAAAATCTTCCCTAAAGCATTAAATAGATAGATCATTTACAGTAATATTAATGATTTCGCCTTGGATATTCAATTACACTAACTCTTCTATACACAACCGTAATGTTGATTTTAATGTGTGCTCCACATGCATAACTGCTTAAAGAGGAGATTCAGTTTATTTTCTAAATAATTATTTACAGCAGTAGTATATGCTCAGAACACAATTCTTATGCTTGTGAGAATAACTGTTCACATTCCCAGTGTATCAGAAGATCTTAGTGTATAGACATGTGAAACTCTTATACCCTTGATTGCTCCTTTTCTGTGCATATGAATGTAAAATAATTCTATCAATACTGCCAAGATCTGAAATTGTAGATACATATGACTCATTTTAGTTTCCACAAGCCAACATTATCTCTTACCATTATTGCTTGTTAAAATTTGCAAAAAAGTTAGATTAATCTTGTTTTTTTACCCAAAGCAACAGAAATCCAAATGTAAAGGAAATCTGTGTATTGTGCAGATTTGCAGTCTTCCTAGTGATTCTGCCTGGTCTTTCAGGATCAATGCTTTTTGGGGGGTTGGGAGAGTTTGGGGGAGAACCAACCCTTAAGTTTCTAAACTTTCTTGTTACAGATATAGCCTTATTAGTCATTAGCCAGCCAAAAGAGGTGTTATTTGCCATATTTATCAGGATTGTTAACTCCCATGCCTAAATGTGATCACATACAACACTGCGAATTACTTCACTGCAGATGATAAAATGTATTATGCACTTGCCAATGGGGCTTAGTGTTTGCAGTGCGGTCTGCTAAAAAGCACTGGATTCTCAGTTTGGTCTGAAACACCAGCAGCAGGGACAATTAAGACTAATAACTAATAAACAAGATTATTTTTAAACATCTATTGTAGTCTGGAGAAAAGCAAATTCTTATGACGGCTATTATTTTAGCAAATAAAATAAAATTTTACAATCAGCAGGGTACAATGGACTTAATGCTGGTTTTCTCCATTAAGAAGTTTCCCTTGATTTTAAACAGAATTACCTTGGCCCCTGGGGGAATCCTAACCCAAGATCCAACAGTCATCACACTTTTAGTACTACAAATTCTTAATTTTAAGGGTAAAGCTGTAATGATTGAGAGAGAATTATGTAATTATTTATTAATTAATGCTCAATTTAAAAGCATGCTGTAAAAGCAGGCAAAAGGATAATTTTAACAGGTATTATTTGAGTGTGAGAAAGTGATTATCTGCATCAGCAGCATGGGGGCTTCTGTAAGATCATAAAACCCATTTCCTTCCTGCCTCAAATCCTATTTAACATCAGAGGTGCAAGTTTAATGGTTATAATACAAGCAGGCTTTCACCCAATCAGAATGCAGGGCAACAGCCAATTTGGGCACAATCCTACTCTCACTGAAGTCAACATGAATTTTGTTTGACTTCAATAGGAAGAGAATTGAGCCTTTTATTCTGAGGTAATGATTCTGGTCAGTATCCATTCCCTGCACCTTTCAAATGACCTCAAGTATCCACACGTCCTAGATTTAAAAGGAGGATACACAATAGGAAAAAGTATTCTTTGAAAAGGACAAGACAAATAGTCTAAAATTGTCTTTCAGCACCTGTTGCTCTCTCCCGTCTCTCTGAAGTCTATATGACAATGCAATACTCTGCATTCCCCAGCTCCAGCTCTGCAGTCCTCCTTGGAAAAGGGCAGACAGTGCTTATATATTTAAAAAATAGTGGTCCCCAGAAATAAAGAGAACAGAAATGCAAATGTGGGTCCAGAAGTGCAGAACTACTGTAGGGCACGTATCCACTTCAGAGGACTCATATCTAAAGGAGAGGCAGAAAACCTATATACTGTTAGTGGAGAGAATCAGTACAGACAATTGTGAGGAGGAGGCTGACTGTGTGAGGACATACCTCACCAAAAGCCCAGGACTTAGAACACTCTCAAACTGGTTTTACACAGCTGTAGATCCATTAACGTCACTTACAGTGATGACAAATAAGTTTGATAATTTCACATAGAACTTTTGCTATGAAGTAATAGTGCCATCATCATTAACCAACTGTTTTACTTTGGCTTTGCCCAGCCACTTTGGAGTAAAATTATGATTTCATGAGAGAGAGGCAATACTATCACTTAAACATCAGCAGAAATTAAGCATGAAAACACATTTTCTTTAAATATTAAACACTTGTTGCTCATCAAGAGCAGCATTAATGCAGCTCTGTTCACTCCTACTGGCAGGGGGTAATCATGGAGATAAGAGAATCACAGAGGTAGATGCAAATTACACAATGAAAAAAAGGTGCAGGATCAATTTAGATCATTTATTTCACAGTTTCTTCAGCCTGAAAGGATCTCAGCATAGGGTAAAGAGGGTAAAAGGTGGCAGCTTTGTGAGGCTGGGAAACCGAATATTGGTCTAAAAGGGGAAATGTATACACACACTCAAATTAAGCTTTGCAAAGGAACAATGTGTGGTCTTTGAAAGATTTCAGCTTCTTTTCTTGGAAACACAGTCTTATCTTGAATGAGTACTCTGGCGTGCTGGGCACTCCTGCTTGGAACAAAAGTTATCCCAGTATGCAGGGTCTTCAGGTGCCATAGGAACACCGGTGGCAACTAAATCATCAAAAGTCAATACCTGGAATTGTGGCTGGGTCAGGTCTTTAGAAAAAACCTAAGGAAAATACATTTTAGAGTTAGATGGAAGCATGGACAAATTTCACTCCTCTCCCTCCCCTCTGCCCCAATCAGTTTAAACTGTTGTAAATACTAAAAAGAATAATTTTAAAATGTTCAGATTGATACTGATGTGATAAAAAAATTAACCTTAAATACGTTAAGATGCACAGTAGTGGGGATGCAGATAATATAGTCCTAGAGACTTACATTTTAGTGAATAAAATAAAATAAAAGAATATAATGGAAAAGGAAAAAAGTGCCAGGGAATCTGAGATTCATAGATATTAAGGACTATAAAGAAGGGCTATTTATCCTACAGTAACTGTGGTTCTTTGAAATGTTGTCATTAGTGTGGATCCCACTGTTGGTGTGTATATGCCTCATACATTAGAGATCAGATTCTTCTAAACAACAGCATCCGTCATGGCAACGTGTGCACCCTGCATCTGCTCATGCTCCCATGGAAAAAAAAAAAAATCACACATGGTGGTGATGCGGAGACCATCACTGTGGAGCATGAGTTGGCACCACAACGTTTCTATTCATTTGGTGTCTTGCTGGGGAGTAAATAGACCTGTCCCCGAGCTGCAGGGGCACATACATGCGCCGACATACGACTGAATGCCACAAGGAACATCCCTATTATTGTAGACAGATTGGATCTTATCTCAGGTAGCAGTGATTGCAACAACAGGAAGTGGTTCTCATGCAGGTACACTCTGTATGATCTGGAGTCTACTGTAGCTCTTATGAAGTCTATCATTTGCAGTAGGATAAAAGATTATTTTTATTTTTGTATTTCACTAGGAGGGACAGTGGGATCCTCGCTGTCTCTTGCTGGGACCTGTCTCTGATCAGTCAGTCATCCAGGGAAGGGTAGATGTGACTGCCCTGCCTTCCCAATGCCTTCCCAACTAGGCATTTTGTAATGACTGTCAGCATAGTGGACAGGCTGAATGACAGTACCTTGTTTTGCTAATGATTGGGCCTCATCTTAGCCATCCATCTAGCCCACAGGTAGTACCTATGTGGAAGTATGCCTTTTGCAAGTCAAGAGCCATGAACCAATTCTCAACTTGCAGAGATGGAATGATGGAGGCATTACCATCCTGAATCTGAGGCAGCATATTAGTTGAGTCTCCTCAGGTCTAGGAAAGGATGAAGACACCCGTTCTTCTTTGGGATAAAGAACTATGGAGAGCAGAAGCCTCTCCTATGACTCATAGATGAAGCAATGAGGGCACTTCTGTTTGCAACAGGATCTTATGAGAATGATGCTGGAAGAGGGATGGAGAAGGGGGATAAGCAGGGAAATGTGTGGAAATGAATAGGGTAGCCGAGGGCAATTATGTCTTACACCCATTTGTCTGATGGTCGATCAAGCCCCATGGAAAGGGACAAGGCAGACAAGGATCAACTCCAGTGTGACTCTCAACACTCCTGTCAAGCCTGTTGGCTTTGTGACTGTGTCAGGTGTATGATGGAGGAGGTCCAATGGGCATCTCCTGGAATACCTAGATCTTTTCTGAGGCAGGTACTCAGCTTGTGGCGATGAGAGTATGAGGTCCCTGCTGGGGCTGACACTCAAAGTTTCCGGTAAGGAACCAGGGTGCAAATCCCAAAGGACCTTAACACAGCCTTTGAGTCTTTTAAGGAGTGAAGTGACTTGATGGTTCTTTAATCAAAGAGTTCCATCCTCTCAAAGGACAGGTTCTCGATGGTAGCTTGCACTTCTTGGAGTACCCTGGAAGCTAACAGCCAAGATATCCATCTCATTGTGATGGCCATGGCCCTGACCTCATAGCCATGTCATATGCATCCATGGACAGCTGTAGTACCATCCTCACAACAATTTGGCCTTCTTTTATTATTCTTTTTAGCTACTCCCTGTGCTCCTGCAGGGTGTTTGATAGGAAGGGAGTGACGCACTCTCAGGGGAGAAAGTCATAGTTCATGAACAAGGCCTGGTAGTTCACCACTTGGAGCTGAAGTGAGCTGAGGAGTACACTTTAAATGTAAACAGGTCGAATTTCTTGGGGTTTTTGTTTTTAGGAGTATCTTTTGAAAACCAGGATTTCTCTTGGATTGCAGACACGACTTGGAACCCTGTGTTTGGGTGGGCATAAATATCCTGAAAGCCCTTTGAGGACACCTTGTGACGGGTTGGATCACAGAAACCCCCTTGGGAGCTGCCACCCAATGTACCGAGACTACCCCTGCTTCTGTTTTCCCTGCCAGCTCAGGACTTCAGCACCCTGTCTTGCTGAGCGAGACACTCCAGTCTGGCTCCAACACAGACCCAGGGTCTGAATTACTTGTCCCAAAGCTGCAAGTTTACCTGAAAACAGCTCATAGAAGTGTGCTTGTCTTTAGCACTCAGATGCCCAACTCCCAATGGGGTCTAAACCCAGATAAATCCGTTTTACCCTGCATAAAGCTTATGCAGGGCAAACTCAAATTGTTCGCCCTCTATAACACTGATAGAGAGATATGCACAGTTGTTTGCTCCCCCAGGTATTAATACATACTCTGAGTAAATTACTAAATAAAAAGTGATTTTATTAAATACAGACAGTAGGATTTAAGTGGTTCAAAGTAGTAACAGACAAAACAAAGTAAGTCACCAAGCAAAGTAAAATAAAATGCGCAAATCTATGTCTAATCAAACTAAATACAGACGATTTCCTCACCAGTTCCAGAGCACTCCCTTTTACAGGCTAACCTCCTTTTAGCCTGGGTCCAGCAATCACTCACACCCCCTGCAGTTACTGTCCTTTGTTTTAGTCTCCAAGTATCCTCGGGGGGTGGAGAGGTTCCTTCTTTAGCCAGCTGAAGACAAAATGGAGGGGCCTCCCCCAGGTTTAAATAGACTCTCTCTTGTGGGTGGAGACCTCCCTCCTCCCTCCTATGCAAAGTCCAGCTCCAAGATGGAGTTCTGGAGTCACCTGGGCAAGTCACATGTCCCTGCATGACTCAGTCTTTACAGGCTGAAGCCATTGTCCACATAGTATCTTGCATGTCTCCAGGAAGACTTCTTATGTGGATTGGAGCATTCCAAGATGCATTGTTCTCCAAGTGTTTCCTGATCAGGTACTTAACCTGGCGAATTCCTTCCTAAAGAAGCTGACCAAATGCCTCCCAAAGCTTACTTAGAAACCAAGCAAGCATACAGCCCATATTCTTAACCTCAAGTAGAAAATGATATATATATATGTACAAATAGGATGAATAGATATAGTAGACCATAACCTTTATGGAGATATGTTACCTGGCACAGGCAGCACAAAACATATTCCAGTTATGTCATACATACATTTATAAGCACCCTTTCCCCATAAAGCCTTATGGGGTACACTGTCACACCCTCCCCCTGAACTCGAGGCCCAGAGAGCATGTCATGGGTGTACTGGCCCAGTGCCAACTGGCCAGCCGGCTCAGTGCTACTCCTGTCTTACCTGAAGCAAAGCATTTGGCAAGGGGGTTCTGCCTCAGGTAATTGGGGTTGCTCTCCAAAGGTGAGGGAGAGGCAACCCTGCTTGAGGTGGGGAGGAGGAGTAAACTGGCAAGGGTGACAATGAGTCACCCTCTTTGAATGACAATGCCATGTGGTGATATGGCCTCTGCATCACATCTAATTCTGATCATCACTTAGGAGCACTGGATCTATGGGTCTTGGACCTGTCATTGTTTTGGTCATGGATACCAAGAGCGGTACCAAAGCTCCTCCCCCCTATGCCATTCCTGCCTTGGTGGAAGATTTGGAGGCTTTGTCCTTGGAGGAGTGATATTTGATGTGCTCCTGTGCAATGGTCCTTTTGTTGTTCAGAGCTGCGCTTATGCTCCAGGAGGGAATGTTTCTTGGCATCACTCGTCCATGATCAGAGTGTAGGCACCAGTTGTGATGTGAGGCTGCCAGCGCACCAAGGTTGACAGTGCTGAGGATGCCAGTGTCCTCTTCACTGCCCGATCCCAGGCTCTGGTGCCTATTCCAGGGAGCACTTTCTGATCCAAACTATTTGGTTCCACTTTGGCAGCTGTCATTTCCTCAGGATCTGAACTGACACACATGGATTGCTCAAGAAGATGCAACTTGAGCTGCACATCCCTGGGCTTGTGCATCCTGGAAGAAAATGACTGACACGCTTCATACCTGTCTGAGATGTGGTTCTCCCCCAGGCAGAAGCAGTAGTGTGGCTAGGAGTGGAAATTTGGGTGGGCCCTGACTTTCAGGTGGACGGGCAATGACAGACTGTGCTAGCTCAGCTTCTCCCCTGATGCCACTCCCTATTCCTAGCTCTGGTACCCCCAGACAAAGGGCTTCACCTGCCAAGCTGGGCACACACATGGGGCAGCTCAGAAAACAGCAAGGCAGAGCTGCCAGCGTGTAGCTTTCTGAAGGATGGGCGCATAGCTCTGTCCTCGATTTCAGGTGCCCAAGCAATGCTCCGGGCCGCACTACACCCCTGCTCAGATATGGGTGGGCCTGGATGCTAAGTGGGTGGGTGTACCCCTGGGCAGAAGAGGTAATGGTTGTGTCCATCAGCAGAGGCGATGAGAACATCACAGGACAAGCAGGGTTTGAACCCTAGTGGCTTACGGTCTGCCATATTAGCATGAAGCACCTCACCCTGCTTAACAAAAGGGGTGTGTGCAGGGGTGGGAGAAGACTTTTTTTTTTTTAAATGGAACGTCCAAATTAATGTAATAAGGGGATAAGAAGGGGACTATAGATTCTTTTCACCAAATCAGTCAAGAAAAGGGTGAGTTTGAAGCTCTGTATAAGTAGTGGGTTGAACACTCACTTGATTCCATCTTTATGTCATGGACATTAAGAAGAGAGGGTTCCGGATGCTCCACCCTTTATGCCCGTGCATGGGAGGATGAAGAGGCACAGGGGGTCATATGTGGCCCCGACCGACACTGCTTTTGAAAAGAATCCAATATCATATGCATGACGCACATGCCTACATGCCATGTGATCCATACCTGAAGGACCATTATGATCATCTATTGTGATCACCTGCATTACACAGACCAAAGAACCTCATCCAATAATTTCTGCAACAGCCTTTAATTTCTGCATGAGCTATAACATCTCTTTGAGAAAGATATTCAGTCTTGATTGAAAGACTCCAGGTGGAGAATCCACCACATCCTTAGGTAAGTAGTCCGAAGTAAGTTGTTCCAATGGTTAATTATTGACCCTATTAAAAAAAATTGCACCTATTTCCAGTCTGAATTTGTCTAGCTTCACCTTTCAACCACTCAATCTTGTTATGCCTTTTTCTGATAGATTAAGGAGATGTCTGTCTATCATAAGTCTCTCTCCCATGTAAAAACTTGTAGACTGATCAAGTCACTTCAACCTTCTCTTGGAGAAACAGAGAGAGCTTCCTTAGTCGTTCACCATAAACCATATTTTTCTAGACCTGAAATCATTCTTGTAGCACTTTTCTGAACCCTTTCCAAGTTTACGACATCCTTTTTGAAATGTGGACATCAGAGCTGGACATAGCACTCCAGTAATGCCCTTACTAATGCCATACTCAGAAGTAACACCACCTCTCCCTATTCTTACTAGACATTCCTCTGCTTATATATCCAAGCATCACATTCGCCTTCTTAGCTACAGCACTGCATTGACAGCTCACACTCAGCTGATTACCTATCATGACCCCTAACTCCCTTTCAGGGTAACTGCATTCATGGATACAAGCCCCCATCTTATAACTGTGACCTACAATCTTTGTTCCTAGATACAAGTCCTTTAATTTTGTTGGTCTAAATAGAAACAAAGAGGTGGATTGAGCACCATAAAAGACTATACAACCCCTGCACTTTATCACTGTGATGACAGAGAGATTTGAGACCAGACGCACAAACACCACAAGCTGTGGATCGGGAAGAGTTGTCTGCCCTTTTATGGCTGAATTTTTAAAGTACAAGGCTCCAAAGAGTTGCACTTCTAGGACATCCACTGAAGGTGGGAAAGGTGAGTCAGACCAGAGATGCCACATGAGCTGAATTCTGTTTCCAAGAGGTATGAACCAAATGAAGTTACATTGGCAGATTAACTCCTTTGGAGGGACTCTGACTAGCTGTTCTCCATGATTCCTGATAGGTAGAGCCATTACGCTTATTATAAAGCTTGTGCTATAGGATAGGGAAAAATGACATTTATGACCAAAATACTTAGTATTCTATTCAAATTGTGTAATGCCATATGAAATTAAATAAAGGAAAGTTATTTTAGAGACCAAAACTCATAACATCTTACGTTGGAATCCTTCTGTACAAATACTTCTGGTTTCCCCAGAGCTACTGCAACATGATGGAGATCATCCAACCGGGTTTCCTAAAAAAGTGAAAATAAGATAGTATATTAATTTTCATTAGTGTATGTCTGAAATAGAATACAGGGATATATATACTGGAATTCAGGGCAAAAACAAGAAGTAATTTAAAGATGGGACCATCACTCATTTAAAATCACCAACATTCACAAGTGAGAAGAAGCCTTCGGTAGATTTGGTCAAAAAGACTTAATTCAATAGTGAAAAAAAATCAGGACTCTGCTCCCAGCTCTGCTGAAAATATTCTATGCAACTTTGGGCACACCACTTTTCTTCAATGTGCCACAGTTACCCCAATCTGTAAAACTAGGAGGGAGTGGAAGAAAAGAGATTTGACTTTCCTGAGGATAGATATATGAGACCTCACTAAAATCAGATTTATAAGGTGCAAAGAATTACAGTCTTATGTCCATTCACAAGAAGATATCCAAGAAAAGAGGAAGTTACTTACCTTCGTAACTGGAGGTTCTTTGAGATGTGTGGTCCCTACCTGTATCCCACCGTGTGTATACATGTGCACCATGTGCCTGCAATCAGAGGATTTTGAAAGCAGTGGCCATTGGTCCACACGTGTGACCTCGCTCTCCTTGTGCCTCTGAGTGAGGAGATAAATGGCGGACTGGACCAACTGCTTCTCCAGTTCCTCCTCTACAATGAACTAAAGAATGATCCAAAGCAGAGGGGAAGGAGGACGGGTAGTGGAATACAGATAGCGATCACACATCTTGAAGAACCTCCAATTACTAAGGTAAGTAACTTCCTCCTCTTCTTTGAGTGCTGGTCCCTATAAGTATTCATGATGAGTGACTGACAAGCAGTACTCAAGTAGGAGGAAGGTGCGAGGATGCAGGCTGTAAAGCCCTTTGAAGGATCACTGTCCCAAACGATGCATCAGTGGAGGAGCCCTGTACTAGAGCAGCAGTTCTCAAACTGTGGGTTGGGACCCCTTTTTAATGGGGTTACCAGGGCTGGCATTAGACTTACTGGGGCTGAAGCCTGAGCCCTGCCGCCCTGGGCCAAAGCTGAAGCCTGAGGGCTTTAAGCTCTGCGTGGCTGGGCTCAGGTTACAGGCCCCCTGTCTGGGGCTGAAGCCCTTTGGCTTTGCCCCCTGCACCTCAGGGCGGCAGGGCTAGGGCGAGCTCAGACTTTGGTCCCCCCTCCAGGGGTTGTGTAGTAATTTTTGTTGTCAGAAGGGGGTCATGGTGCAATGAAGTTTGAGAACCCTTGTACTAGAGCATAATGTCTCACAAACATGTGGATGGAAGCAGAGGTACTTCCTGAAGTGAAGTCACTGATGTCTGTTGTGCCCTCATGGAATAAGCCCTTACCCAGTGAGGGTAAGCAGCAACACCCTTGATCTCAGTCACTATCCAATGCTCACTAGAATGATTTTGTTATAGTAGCAATGCTATAAGTAAAGGCTGAAATAAGGTTTTTGTTTTACTTTTCTGTCTCTACAAGACTTCTCACTTTTTAAAAACTGTTTGTAAATTCACTTAAACATTTTCATATATTTAACTTCTCCTTTATATATATTTTAAAGGAAACAGTATGCAAAAATACTTGCCAATATAGTATTAAGTTTGAAATTGAATAAGATAAGAAAATTCAGTCAAGTTCAGTCAGCTTAACTTGGCCCCTTTACAGGTATGCATTAGAACAACAGTTTTCATTGTTTGATGACATACCACACTGGAGAACAGAAATGCTATTCAGAAAAACAGAATGGACCACAAAGAAGCTACCCATTTTTCTATAACTGTGGAAGCACATATTACCATTTTGCATTACTGCATATATACTGTGAGAAGACAAATAGAATATAATACATGTGCACAATGGGGAAGAGTTACTGAGGAAGCTTTAACAATTAATCTCTCATTCAGTATGTCCTGTCAAAAAACCTTTACTCAATTTAATCACTTCGGTTGTCCCATTAAATGACTAGGATACAGACACTGATTTCTAGAAACTGGTTTATTTTGTCTACTTAAACATTGTTATCAGAGCAGAGTTCAGAATTTCATAGATTGAAATTTGCAAATTTTGTATTCAGTATCTTAAATTAACTCTGTTTTACATATCATGATGTCCGAATATAAACTGCTAATGCAGAATCAAAACGTTTGTTATTCTATAGCAGTGGTTTTCAACCTACAGTGTATGTCTAAGATTTCCAAAAGGGTCCGCACCACCATTAAAATTTTTTTAGGGGTCCGCAAATGAAAAAAGGTTGAAAACCACTGTTCTAGAGAGATCCTCAAATTCAGACATTAAATGCTTCACACAGGGACCTGATAGAGTACATTTCAAGACTATCCCAATTTATATGATTCACAAAATGCTTTTCAAGGTGACATTTTTCTTCTTTTAAAAAACTCAAAATCTACACTTCAAAGTAAATTTAAGTATTTATGCTTCAACAACAAATAATACAATTAATCATTTAAAAACTATAGGGCTAAGGTCTAAACCCATATTAAAAATTTATACTTCAGAGTGAAATAAGTATTCAAGTTGTTTGAACAGTGAAGTAGAGATGGCGGGGTAAATTGAAAGTCATATTCCCACAGAAAACAGTCTTCTATTAACAGATATGTAGGAATTATGGCACCTCCCACTCTTGGTTTAAAGACTAAATTACTGGCATCTGCTTACCCGCCGTTCTCATCTGTAAAATAAGAGCTTTAATTTTGGCTACGATTAAAATGGAAGAAAAAAAGGCTACCAATCTGCAATAATGCATACAACAGTGTGGGAGCTGTAGCATATTTGAAATTTGCCCTCTGGAATGAAAACACCATATTTTGATCCATTTTGCCTACAGTGAAGTGTTATAGTATGTTCTCCTGTTTTCTACTCCCTCCTTGAACACAAAACCCAAAAATAAGTTAAGCAGAAAGATTTCTATTGCAGATTTATCAGGCCTCATCATTAGCACACATAGCCCATACTGCTGTAATTTTCTTGGAAAGGTGAAATGGCTAGATTTTATCACCTCATTTTTCCCCCTCTTTCACTTCCTACATGTCCTCGAGGGGAAAGACTGATGAGTTTAGAACACATGGCAGAATGTATTTATCAGTACCTCTAATCCAGTGGGTCTCAAACTTTTTTTTACTGGCGACCCTTTTCACACAGCAAGCCTCTGAGTGGGACCCCCCTAATAAATTAAACACACTTTTTAATATATTTAACACCATTATAAATGCTGGAGGCAAGCGGGGTTTGGGGTGGAGGTTGACAGCTTGCGACCCCCCCTGTAATAACCTCGCGACCCCCTCAGGGATCCCGACCCCCAGTTTGAGAACCCCAGCTCTAGTCCATTTGGAAATCCCAAATCTAATGCGCTGTAGTTTTAAAACAAATTAACAGCAATGTAAGTTTTGCTCAGTGAATACCTGTGAATTTACCATATCTTGTCTGTATAACTGGCTGCTAGTGATGTCCAATGCCACCTGTATTATGTATACTTTTCTTATTTTGTTACCTCACTTAATGTATATGAAGAGGAAGCCAACTTATAGGCTAAATCCTGCCTTGATGGAGGCATAAAACTAAAACTAAACAAAGGTGAACAGGGAGAATAGCAGAGGAGTCCCCCTCTGCAACAGAGCTCTTACTAGTGCAGGTTAGTATTCGCTTGACAAACCAGGAGATGTGCTGTGGAGCACTATTTGTTGCTCCTCTGAGCAGAAGCAAAGTGCTCCGTGAACTGCTCTGACTCTAGTGTGTGCTGGGGCTTGAAAAGGACCACAACCTGTTGTGTTAGTTGAACCCAACTCCCAGCACACTCAGAAATGCAGTTCTACTCTGAGAAATGCTTACATAAAAATGGCACCTTCTTCCAACAGAACTGCTCACTATGTGTATTCTGTTATATCTGATTACCCTAGCAACAAACATTTGTCATTGACACTTACCTGTGTTAGCACGAGTGAGCTGAATTCTATATCTTCTATGCAATCAGCAGAATTAATATTATCAGAATTTTTTATTATTTTAATTCAGCCCCAACATTGTGTCTCTGCAGTTTCTATCTTGCTTCTAAACACAGCTCAAAGTTCAGAATTTGGCATCACACATACAGTGAATGAAGACTGAAGAAGGACGGTTACAAAATATTTAGTATAGAGCTTTTCAAAATTTCCTCTATGCTGCTGTTCAGCACAGTTAAAAATCAATCATCCATATATCTGAAATGTACTTGGGAAATAATCACTACAAAATGTAGAGGTTTTTTCCCTAGTGAATCCTTCATTAAAGGAAGATGGAACTGGGGATGAGTACCTGGAGGGGGCACCAAATATAAAATACAAGAACATTTTCACAATTATGGAAAGTTAGAGAAAAAAATCTTGGTTATACTTGTAATTTCTAGCACAAACAATCTTACTGAAATTAATAGGACCAATTCCGCAACAAAGTACTATTCAATTTAAGAATGGCAGAATCAGGCTTTTGTCGTTGTAAACAAATGCTATTGTAACAATTTTTCTCTTAATCCCCTTATTTTTGTTTACTCATTCCCGGAAGAGGTTGCTGTTTCTATTACACATAACATCATTTCTGAATTTACCAAGAACGCTAGAGCTTGATTCAAAAGAGAATTTAATTGATGCTTTTTTTTTTCCCCTGTGGTTTCCCATCTGTGCAAACAGACGGGTATTCCCCCCTCTGTATTTGAGTTTGGACACATTCTATCTTTTCCCACATGCAGAAAGCACTTCAAAAATGTATCTTTAAATTCTAGTTAACAGAAAACAACAAGGTGGATAAAAATCAATGTTTTTTTTTTTAAAGAAAAACTGGATTTAATTTAAATCAGATTTTTTTTTACTTTTAAATTAAATACAGGAGTTTTTTTAAATAAATCTATTTAAAATTGAAGTTGAAACTGACAACTTATGTTAAATCCTATTCATTAGAATACATTAAATAGTTTAAATTAAATAAAAAAATAGTATTAAGCAGTACGTTTGCTGCTGAAGTTTTAAAGGAG